GGGAGGGAATCGCACTTCTGCAGCTGAATAAGAGCCCTTGTTTAGGGTTGGCCTGGAGTGGCATGACAGGTAATTGGACATGAACAGGGTTGGTGTGGGCCGGACTTCAAACGCCCAACTCCACCGTCGTCTTAGAGGGCACCTGCGCATAAAGCACACTGTCGTGGTGGGGGAGGGGAAGAGGGGTGCCTGCTCCAATCCGAAAGCTGCCTGGAACTTTATTTCTCCCTAACTTATTCCTGTATGTGTTTTTTAGAAAGAAAGAGGGGGGGGAGAGAGAAAGAAGAAAATGTCAGGCCTTCCTTTAACTCGGGAACCGGTTTTAGTCCGCTATGCAGAGAACAGCAAAACTGTAGCAAGAACCTATGAACGCCCCCCCCGCCACCCAACCTTTCTGCAATCACCTTTGTAATTAGGATTATAAATGTGTACCATAAATGCCACCACCTCGGTCTAATTGCTAGGCAAACAGCTTGTTACCACAGCAGTTGGTAAAAATCCTGCGGTCCTAATGAAATTAACCTGGGGAGGGGACGCGGTGAAGGAGAAACCCTCAGGGAAAGCAGATGCTCACTGAAACTCAGTCGCGCAGCACCAGCCTACACGAGTCTACTCGGAAGGAAGTCCTAGAAGTGGTTTGGAGTCCATGGGGAGAGGAAGCGACGGGCAGGATCGCCGCCTGAAGTCCAAAGCGTAGCACCGCCACCGATCAGGGCAGGAAGGCGATGGATGAGGGGGTTGGTGGGTTGGGGGTGAGGGCCAAATCCCGACATTTGGTGCCAAATGCAGTAGAGCGTTTCCCCCCTGTCCCGTCCCGTCCCGTCCCGTCCCTTCCCGGGGTTTCTGGTTTGTTCTTGATTCTTGCCTGTTTCTAACCGGGCCTGGAGGCTTCAGCCCCCCCACGTTCTCCAGCGCCCAAACAGCCGAGTGAGAGAAGCGCCCCTGGAAGGGCCAGCAAAGTAGCAACGGAAGCATCTGGTTAGACACGTGTGTTGAAGTGGAAGTCGACTCTCAACGTGTTGACTCCGCAGGATGAAGACCAGGGAGCTCGGACGGCCGCTTCTCCTCCTTACGCCTAGCGAGTATGTCATGTCCGCTGGTTGCCGGACGCTCGGGGTGTGTGTGTGCGTTTGTCATCACTAGCTGGCTGTGGAGATTTGGGATTTTGACCTGGAAGGGGGCTTGAGTGGTTCCCGCCCCACCTCTCTATGGACTCCGTGTGGTCTTAGTCTTGTAGCCCAAACAGGGAGGACACTTCGTCCGGAAATTCGGGGAGGGAAGACCGCTCACCCCCGTTCGGACCACCGGCCATGCCATGTTTAACGGTGTGCAGTGAGAATAAATCGCGGCCTACCTGACAGGGTTGGTGTACAGAGCCACAAAGACGTCAAAGGAACTTTTTGCACAGATACTTCACACAGGGTGGCAAGGGGACGTACAGTGCCTCCCACCAAGTGTGCCAAGAGTTATGACTATGAATGTGCCCCTGTGCACAAGACCGGATCTAGGCGAAGTTATTATCCGAAACCTCCCAGGTGGGAGATCCCACCCCCGGGCCTATTAACCCGTTGACTAAGATTTCCAAGTTGCTATCTTGCATCCATTGATTTACATGAACAGGCTGGCGTCGCAAAAGTGCTAGGCAGTGGTTGGGTTGTGACACGGTATGTACAAGAGAGAAAGGACTGGGAGAGATGCTGGAAAGTACATCCCATTTATTTTGGAGTTGGGAATCGGATTAGGAGAACACTACAGCCTCCTCTCCCTATTCGTATTTTTATTATTTTTACGAATATTTAACAACCGCCGCCCTTCCTCTTAACATTCCGTTCGGAAGTTAATTAAACCCGATTCCAACCCCGAAGCCTTTCTACAGGCAAGGATGAGTGGGTCATTCCACGAGTCACAGGAAGGGAAGGAGCGCTCCCTCCCCCGCACCCTAGGGAGCAGGCTTGCCCTCGCCAGTTACTCTCTCAGTGCGGAGGTTCAGCAGATCGCCGCCTTGAAGCCACCAAGTTTACCCAGAAGGAGGTCAAACTCTTGTGGTGAAGCAGACAACAGTGTTGGCTCTTCAGTCAGAACAGAACCTACAAAGCGGTTTGGCTCATACCTTATTTAAGAGCAAACAAAAGGCAACACGAGTGTGCCAGCTTTCGAGTTTCTCAGAACTCTTCGTCAGAGAAAGGGGGCACCGATCCTAGGACTTTTCCCCAAGGGGTAGCCCTGTTCTTCTGTCCCAGCGCAAGGAAAAGAACTTTGTGGCAGCTGGACTGTAAACCGCTCAAAACCAAAATTTTCAAAGTACCACGAGACTTTTTCTCGATAGCCCTGAGGGGAAAGCCTAGGCCAGGCTGTTCTTAAAACTGCACCGGCGCTTGCCTTGGGACACAGAGGCGTTCGCTGCCTGTCCTGCCTCTGCGGGCCATTCGTGACTGGTATCGATTTGGCCTCTCAGCTCTCCGAAGGAGACCCAGAGTTTCCACTCTCATTCTGGCGCCTGCCAAAGTTCCCGCTCCCCCTCCAATCTTAAGAGATACATGTAGATACTTCTCTCCTTTCCCGTCCCCTGCAGGAAAAAAAGACTGTCCGTTTTCAGAACTGCAGGAGGAATCAACCAACAGTCCCTGCCGCCGGTGCCGCCGCCAGCAACCTCTTCCCACCCCAATCCGTCCCCCCCCCCGGCACACGCCGGCCCCTCCGCGCCCACCCTCGCGCCGTAGAACTAGGAAGGCCATTGTCGCGCGAAAGCAGCGTGGAGCCCCTCTCGGGGGAAGGGGGGGGCCCTTTCGGTCTCCCACGGGATTTCAGCCAACGCGCTCCGGGCGAGCTGGAGTTGGGGTGGGGGAGAGAAAGGAGGAGTCGGACGCCAGAGAGCCCCTTTTTGAATCCGATTTGAATCTCAAATGCTTCCTTTCCCGCATTCAGGCAGCGGTGATTAGGAAGCACCTAATTGCAGATCATCAAAAACCTTTCCGTCCTCCTGAGGACTCGGCTTGGGATTTAGGGCAGCTGGAGATTTGATTCATAGTCGGGGAGATGAGATGAGAGGCCCCCCCTCTACTCCCGCCTCCCCAGGCCTCCCCAGGTCTCCCCCATCCAACCGACCCAAGCCAAAAAAGCAACCTCTTGCGGAGGAGCTGAGGCTGTTGTCCATCTGGGATCAGGAAGGCTTCCCTTGAAAAACAAGCGCCCCCCCCACACACACACAAGCCGTCGTGCGATGTCTTCCTCAAGTCAGCAAGGTGGCGGGGGGGGGGGGAGAGGCGGAAAATATAGCGGTAAAGAACAACCAACAAGTTTATATAAGGTATATACAGTATTGATATTTGGGCTTTTAAATATATGTATATATAAAAGCCCAAATACGTGGCGCACGGATCTGGGAACAATGTATGAATCGCTCATACAAAGTTAACGTCAAGCACTGGAAAACAACTCAATGGATCGAGGAAGAGGGTGAAAAGGCCGTAGGAACAAGGAGCGACTTACAAGAACAAGATGCCAGTTCTGTTTTATTTGTTGTTTTTTTAAAAAAAGACCTTCGGAAAGGTTTTTCACACACATCCCTCTCTTTCCCTCTGTTAGCGATAGGCGGTACACCTCTAGAGATGCCAAAAGTAAAAAGCTGCAAACACACACATACACAAAAGAAGCGAAAACCTGGAAGACGTGGATCGCAGAGTTTAGTTTTCCACACACCCACAGCACGGGGATTGCAGGGACTCAAGACAAGGAGGTATTATTATTATTTCAGTGGGTTACACGGTTTGCATTAAGCTGAAGGAAGCAAATTAAAAACAAAGAGGGAAACATAAAACAGGGCGGCGGGAGAATTCATATCAACATCCCAACTCTTAAAGAAAAGGGACCCCCCTTTTTTTTCTGAGTGTGTCAATTTCCTCTAAGTCCGGTGTAGCCTCGCCTAGCAGAATCGTCTCCGGGAAGGGAAAGGTGTGGGGCGCTCTTTCCCCTTCTGTCCCGACCCCTCCCTTCCCTCCTCAAGAGATTCTTCTGCAAGGCGACTTGCTTCGACGAGAGTTCACACCCGTGCCGTTCATTCCGGGAAGGGCATGTCCAGCAGTAATAAGTCAAGGCTTAGGGCGGTCGCTCAGGGTGCCTCTCCTGCTGCCGCGGGCGCGCCCGTCCTCTCCGCTTGCTTCCAGGCTGAACCAGAAGCGAGCTGGTGTCCCTCCCTCCGGGCTGAATCCTTAGCAAATCCTCCACGCCGCGTCCCTGGTTCTTAAGTTTCCTCGGCTAGGCGGGTCAGGATTTCTGCCCCGCTTGAAGTAATCACGATGGTATGTTCGAACTGAGCCGACCTGAAACACACAGGCGGTAATTAGCAAGGGGGCAAAGGTGATCCCCTGCCACTAGAGATGCCTGGATTTATATTTGGGGGAAAGCAGGAGAAGCAGAAGTAGGCGCAGTAACAACAACAACAACAACAACAAACAACAACAACAACGACGCCCCTGGAACAAGATCGATCCCGCCCTTGCTATCGGCGAGGGGCTCGACCATTAGATATACAGTACATGAACGAAAAGGAGGGCTCCCGACCCCAGCAGGAGAAACAGGCACCTTTTGTTGTCCAGGGACACCACCGTCCATCGGTCCTCCAGGGTTTTAAACGCAGAAGAGCCTTCCATGATTATTGGTTCTGCCACAGCAAAAGAAGAGAGGACACACGCCGTGAAGGCCCGCCAGGCCCGGCCAAGCGCCCCGAGGCCCACCTCCGCCCCCCCCCCGGGGGCTCCCCAGTTTTCCCCGAGCGCCTCCCCGAGAACGAGCGGACGAGGAGCGGCTCCTCAGCGGCGGCGAAGGAAGCGCCCGCCTTGGCGCGTGAACTTGGGCGCTTCGTTTTTAAAGGCTTGAAGAAGGACATTTTAATCAAGCTTTAATTAAGATCCCCACGGATCATAACAGCCAAAGCGCCAGCCACTTGCCTCCAAAACAGCAGACAGGAGGAAAATATTTGAATTTTTTTTTTAAAAAAAGCAGGCTTTAAAATGTTCATTAAATCAGCAAAACAACAATTTTCTTATTTCCCTCTAATTGCCGCGCCATTTAGGCGCGCCGTAAACGAGGAATACATTTTTCCTCTTCTC